CGAGCCGGCGTGTGGATTCTGTCCACGTGGAGGTCCCTTGAGCCTCCTCGGACCAATTTTATTACGGATCTGTCCGCTTCCGGCAGGTTGGCAATTGCCGGGAAATTCTTTCCGACGGGGAGAAGTATCGCGCTTGGGTGCGCAATTGGTTACTGCGGAATGAAGATACAACACTTTTTCCTTAGCAACTCTCTACCGCACACAACTAATTCACGCTCACTAGTTTCTAACTAAACTATAGAACGAACAGTAAAACTTTAATTAAATTGAATAATTGACATCACTTTATATTAGCATACTTTTCGCTATACTAACGGATACGAACAAATGCGCACACTTCTAAATTGGTGGAAAGTCACCGACGAAATCATCGAGCCTGTGAATCCTAAGATTAAGGAAATGTAAGACTCGGACGGACCGGAAGTCCATCTTTTCCCGAAACCCATCGTGTACTTTCGTGAGTCCAAAGACACGAAAGATAACTTGGCCGATAGAAGTGCTGTTGTCTCTTTCCTACCTTATCCATAAATTAAATGAACCCGTCTTAGGAAAGATTTCAGCAAAAAAAATGCTTGTGTATTCCTACTGCCTATCATAAGGAATTTAATTCAAATGCTTGTGCATTCTTACGGCCTATCATAAGGAATTTAATTCAAATAATTTAAACTTATTAAACTATATACAAATTTATACAAAATTCCTGATCGTTACAATATGTACGAAAAGTAACCTGTATGGACGCATACAATATTGTAAAAAAATAAACTGCTTTGCCACTTATGTTAAACATCAGAATCGAATAGTCCTAGAAAGTGCATACCTATTTTGGAAGTATTCTTGACTTGTTATTGAAAACTCACAGACAGTCCACAAGTTTTTTTCCACGAAGTCCCATGAACTTGAGCAATTTGAAATCTGTCTTAAAGTCCTACAAATCTGTTCGTATCCCTTCCTAAAGTAACATGGTTTATGATAAACCCTAAACTGTCAAGGTTTGCAGTTGAAGTCTTTTACAAAAAGACTTTTTAAATCTTACATTGAAATGTAATATTAGAATTTACCCTTTTAAACTTCTGAGGAATTGTCCTGGAAAACTTCTGATTGTGCTCTGGGAATTATCGGAAATTCCTCCTGATACCCTTTGCACTTGTCTTAAAAGTCATATATGTGTGCTAAGCCTGCCTTCTGATATCATCCTTTAAAACCCTCAGGGCTACGATCCTTTTAATTTGTCCAAACTTGCCTTTTAAATTCATTGAATCCCTGTTCGAAGTCCCATGAAGTTCTCTGAACTTGACAGTAAATGCTTCTGGAGCAATCCGCAAAACTATCAACTACAGTATTCAACCACAAACTTTGTATATTAAAATCAATAAAGATAGATCTTCTGGCACTTGACACCCCCTGAATCTTGCACTGTATTCAATGAGCCATTTCTACAAACAAAACTTCAAGTCAAATTTAAAGTAGACTTATTAAGGAATGACTTAATGTTTGAAAACTTTAGATCTCAGCTGTCACTTTCAAAATTGTCAACGATCATTCCAGTTGGAACGCACAATAGTGTCTAGCTTCTGAACGCATTCACAGATAGACCTTCTTATAACAAAGGTAATCATCACATATCTCTAAACCAGGCCTCCCAATCTTTCTGCTTTTTGAAATGGTTGTATCATGTTTCAAACTACATTTTGTTTTGAAGTAATGAAATTGGGTTGTTAGCGGGATGCTTAAATAAAACAGCAAAAAAGGTTATCGTCCATTTAATTCCACTTAATTAATTTTGGTATCCATGACAGATACGTATTTCGACTACAATGTGCATCTGTGATCTTGACTTTTTTTTACCTAGGAATGAGTACTTAAGGGGGTTAGATTTTCATAAGTTCTTAAGTGGGAATGACACTGATGAAGACTGCACATTGTAGTCAAATTAATTAAGTGAAATGAAATGGAAGATAAGCTCTTTTGCTGTTTTATATTTTGTTTATTTCTCAATCATTCTAGGCTAAAATGCATAATGATGAATAAAATTAGACAAAAATGATATCATTGCTGAGATCCAGAGACCACGTCCGCTGCTTTAAACAAAACATCATGCCCAAATCGCACTTCGAATGTAGTTTTAAATGACTCTGAAGTTAGCTTGAAAACCTTTGTCTTAAGTGCCTGTTAATTGGTACTTAGAATATTTTAGACACAGTTAGACGCGTAGAAATCCGAATGATAATTCTATACACTTAATTCTGCTTTTACAAACCCTCATTTAAAAATTTCTAGAACTACTAAGATCTCAGACAGGTCAGCTCGAATTTCTAGAATTATGGATATTATTTGTGCAAGCCCTCTTAGAACTATAAGAACCTTCAAGTACATTATTATATGTAACATTTTACATAAAGTCCTTTAGACTTCTTGTGGGATTTCTCTGGACTTTGTCTCCTAAATACGTATTTAATTATTTTTTAAGACCTCTGAACTTGCTCCAAAAGCTTACTCCATTTTCTCATTTTTTTAACTAACATTTGATGTCTTCACGACTGCCATTTGAAGGCTTTTGAAATTGTACTGGCATTGGGTTGAACGTTTTTTGGAATTGCTTTAGTCTAACTATTTAATAAACAAAAAACTCTTCAATAGCTTTCTGGATTCAACATTCAAAGCATTCTGAAGGTGACTGTGATTTGACTCCACCAAACCCAGCTCGTAACGTTCAAGCGCTGCTGGTCATTCCATCGGAATCAACATGAATAGCTTTATGTCGGGCTTGTAGATCGTCAATCGTTGTGGATTGTTACCTACACTCATAAAATTTGACACATTTTTATTGGCGAATTTCCATGTAAAATTCCACTTGATTTTCATGTGTCCACACATAAACAGAATCCACTCAGAAGTACACATGCAATTTATGAGTCAAATGAATAGTATGTGTGGTTACACATCAAATTTATGTGTACACATAAGAACTATGTGTCCGACACATACATATGATATGTTACAAAAATTCATGTGCCGGCCACCTAAAAGAATCACTGAATTTTTATTAGTGTAATGACAACCGTATTTGCTTACTGAGCAGAAGATCGTGGCTTCCTTCCCAAGCTCTGTTACAGTACGATGATAGGACCGAATCGATATATTATTCTCTCAAAAAATAACCACATAGTTTAGCAAAATGAACGACACTAAAATCTATCTACGTGTTATTCTGAGCATAGAAGACAGTGCACAGTGGTTCAGATTTCGAATTTAGCAGGAAAGCAGCACTAGGGCTTTTGTTATAATATTAAAACGTGTGGTATCTTTGGTGAAGTTTTTGTGCTTAAAAAGTCCCTTCTTTTGGTGGTTGTAAACATAAAGGTGATCCTAAAATTAATTGATATTTAAAAACTAACTGTCTTATTTTTGAAAATGAAGACTTCATTCATTCTTCATTTTAAAAAATAAGAAAGTTAGTTTTTAAATATCAATTAATTTTAGGACCACCCTAATGTTCACAACCACCAAAAGAAGAGACAAGCAAAGTTGTAGCTAAGTTAATGTCAAGCAACTTTGTTCCAGAAATTTTTTTTCTCTAAATGTTCTCATTTTAAAGTATTTTTTTAGAATTGCCTTATGCAGCTAATTTTTGCTGATCTCCAGATAACACTTCGAACACGATGACTCCGGTAAAATGTGTAACGGTAAATGGGCAATGTTTGAAAATTCTATAAATGTTAAATCTATTGATACCGAATAAATCTTTAAAGTATGCATTTTCAAATGGCGCCAATACATTTAAAATTTGTCAATAAATGGCTGAGCTATGATTTTTTAAACATTGCCAGTTTGCCGTTACACACTTTACCGGAGGCACCGTGTTAGGAGTGTTATAGTCAGTATGTATTTGCTTCAGCTTCCCCGTTTGCTCATTCTCGTCCATATGTATTTTTGAGAAATCAACGGGGGAACTATTAAAAAAATTAAAATACTATTGACTTTAAACAAAAATGTGTTTAATGGATTTGGATTCGATCATTTTAAAATATACGAAACATCCTTTATTTTAGCACTTATAAAAATACATTTGTGCATCTCAAACCAACGGAAAACCAACTGAGAAGAAAAGAGTTAGCCCGAGCACATTAAACGTATCAAGTTTTCCACTTTGGTATTCCCAGAGCCTATCGAAGGTGCCAAAAATGATTCAATCCTGCTTGTTAAATCAATTACCATTATTTTCAATACTATAATTTGCCGTGAAACATAGACCTCATTCCCAGTAACGCCCGTTCACCACACCTAAAAAACACCAGACCAGAAGAAAAATAACCTCCGATCCAACTAATCGCTAGCCACATTCAATGCCTCTAAAGCACGATCGTACACGCCCTTAGAAAGGACTAGAGCATCAACGCTACACGGCACGGAGGGGATCAACGCCAAGCGACCAATCAACGCAATCATAGGTCACAACGACCTGGCACGCCACATAAGACAGGCTACTTTACGCCGCGAAAAAAAAATGCAAAATCTATAGCCCAAAGAACAACAAGCTCCAGTACAACAATCGATCGTAAATTCCGATAATCATCGCCGGGCATGTGCTCTATGAATAACAACAAAAAGAGCATGCCCGTCAAAAACCGTCCAGAACTGACCAACCGACGCAACGGCGAAATGGGGATGAAAGAATGTTGAATAGCCCTAACAAGATGATAATGCAGTAGGAAGTCTGCTCTGATGTAGACGAGCTGTGTTTATCCAAGAGGGTTCGATTCTAGAATGACGAGGTACATTTCCCCACGTTCTTCGTCCTTTCCGTTTGATTCTTACTGTTTACATTGTTTAAAGTCCGAATCATGCGGTATTTACCATATACCCATATTGGTGAATTGAGATGATAATGATGATGATGATGATGAGAGTGATCGTTAACGAAAAACAAAACTATACCAATCGTGATTAATTGGAGATAACTGATGAACTATTCACTTTGCTTTCTTCCCATTTCACAGACGAAAACGAGTGTAAATATCGACCCTGTGACGTTTTCGCGCACTGTACAAATACTTTAGGTAGCTTTACTTGCACGTGTTTTCCTGGCTATCGGGGCGACGGACTTCATTGCGAGGGTAAGTAAAAATTTACATATTTTTTATACTGAACATTGATTGATGACCAGCAACAGGGCCTTCGGAAATTGACCATTCTATTCGGTGCTCGTTCATTTCGAAAGACAAATCTACCTCATGTAAGCTGAAGACTGATTTTGATGATTTTCCATGCATACTTTCGATAAGATTCAGGAATTTCAGCATCATTTAATATAACTGTGAATTCCAAATATCTTAGAAGCTTAAAGACTTCCATTTTCCGAAAGCTCTAGAGAAAATTCTCATCGCATTGCATTATAATTAGGGTGGCTCATTAAAAATGTTAGAGGTACCAAACTTTATTGAAATTCCCATGAGTTCCAAGGGTTGCAGAAGATCAACAAATTTCTGGAGTTCTGAGAATTGCTGGCTGATTTACAAGTTCTCCTTCAATTTATTTGGCTTTATTACGTCCCTAGTGGGACTTTGTGCCTGTTAACTGCATTTCCACAGTTGTTAATTGAGAGCTTTCTTTGCCACTACCATTTTCGCATTAGTATTATTGTGTGGCACGTACAATAGAGTATGCCCAGCGAAGTTAAGACATTTTTCGACTCGATAAATTCCTAGACCGTACCAGGAATTGAACCCAGCCGTCTTGCTTTATAGCTGCGCATTTGTCGACTGAGGTAAGAGAAGCCCCAAGTTCGCATAAAGCCTTAATTGTATGCAGCACTTTGTTGGTTGAAAAAAACAAATGATTCCACAGTTCTTAATTTTCCAGAAGTCCTACAGATCATATAGTTTAGTTGTTTTCAGAGCATCCAAATTTCTTGAAACTCCCGGTCATTATAAGAATTGCTCAAATACCAGATGATCCGAAGGGATGTTGAACACAAAAAAACGAAATTCTTGCTACTCATGGAGTTTATATTTTGTGAGCTTTTAGAACTCCGGAGTATTTCAAATACTATCGAAACCCCAAATTTCACTCCGGAAACTTCTAGATTTGTTGGTGTTTCCGAGTTCTGATTTCATGAGTTCCCGAAGACTCGAGAATTCCGACAGGACTTGGAATTACTGCTGTTCCGGAAGTAAGAGAACTCCAAGACATTGAAAGTTTTAGCTCCAAGTATGGATTGCAGTAACGTTTAAAGATTATATTTATTTAATCGTTGATTTAATCTATAGCATTACCGACCGATTTCAGGCATTAACGAGATCAAACATAAAATTTACACAAAACTCACAACTAAGTAAGTTTATTCAAAGACCAACGGAAAGAACCACTGAATAGAAACATTGCGGTGCGATCGAAATGACTCAGTTTATTCGTTGCGTAGTGACTGGCTGGATCACGCATAGTTACAACAGTAATAAAAGATACATAAACTAACAACATTAAACCCTCATTCCTTAATGTACGTATTAAAAATCTGGATGACGAAGAATGGCACCACACATCCACGTTGTTCTGCTCTACTCAAGGCAGATTGTGAGTGTGAATGAAAAAAATCGATATCCGGCAGTGTTGGAATCGATTAAATTTTAACTACGCACCGTTACTGCCGATAGGGCCCTAAGGGAAAATTTGCACATCTCTCTACTAGCGATGCGATGCGACGGCGACGTCCGATAATTTCGCCTCATGGCACATTACACCCCATTACGCCCCTTTGTTGTTCGGTATATGTGTGCATCAGTCGCCGTCGTCGTTGGTCGCATCGTGTACGGATAGCGGTTTGATTCGATCATTAAACCCGAGCATCAGGCAAGCCACGAAGACACACGCGCTGCTTTGCTGGTGAATCTTGATGGTTGTCGCGCGCGAATGTTGCTTAGAGAGCATGGAAGACGCGTTCGTTCACCTCTGAACTGGTTAATGTTGTACTCAAGTCGTCAAAAGCACAGTAGGGCACCTCTCTAATTTATCGTATTACAACGTACTATAAAAACTTCGACTTCAGCGAGACTCGAACCCATACTCTGCAGTGTACCTTATGTTTCGTCTAGAGCTATTCAAACGAACAACTAATCCTCTAATCCATTTCAAATTGATCAAGCACTAAGATCAGAAACCGTAAGCAATGAACGCTAATGACATCGCTGTCAATTTAACAAAATTATGGTTGTCATTGGATGAAGCACTTTCAGTGTCAATTACTAATGATATGAGATTTGAGATAAGTTTCAAGAATTGTGCAAATCTACGATACAATCAAATAATTGCCACCTGCAATTATTTCTCACCTGTACAATGACCATAAAATCAAAGGATTTATAGTCGATTCTAACAAGCTGTTTATCCACACAAGGCTCGAACGAAACGAATCTCCTTAAGAACCTCCAGAACCCTTGCTGCTCGTTCTTCGACTTAACCATCCCGAGATTAAAGCCAAAGCTCTCCAGAGTAATTGAAATAGCGCTGACAATTGTCCAATTATTGTCCTCCAATTTAACAACAATCCAACCAAGCTGTCACCCTCCATCCTCTTCATCGCCGCCTTGCGCAAAGTTCATAGGAAGAAGCGCTCCCCGAGCTTGAATGTCATATCAAGCAGAGGCTCACTTATGACAGCTACCGGTGACATGTCGTCATCGTCGTCGTCAACAACCTACATTATGCCCGGTATCTTCCTCCGCGGAGTTTTTCTAAGCGACGACATGGGAGGAAGAACCAAGAATCGTGCTGCCTGACATCATCCCAGTACATATTGCGCTGCGGTTGCTGCGGCCGAATGATTTTATCAGTGTCATCTACATTATTATATGTGACATGGTGGATGCGGGAAGCCCTCAACAACCGCGGCACTGATCGCACAATAACTACCAGACCCACTCCAGAACCGAAGAGGTTCGCTTGCTTGAGGGGAGGGACTGGATGATGACGATGATGACATGTGTGCTCCAGCCCACTTCTGGTCGTCGGTCTGTCACGCGAGGTAGCGATTCTCGGAACCCCTTCTACGCTTGTGCAAAAGGTGTGGCAAGTTGGTTGGGGGACGTGTCATCATTGGGATGGGTAATTGGCGGTGATAATTTACTAATGTTGGTATTTCTAACGGTGATCGAATTTATCCGCCCTGAAGAGCGAATTATCCAAGACGAAATCCTCTTTTGGATATTCTTCCCGCTGCTTCATGCAAATTAAAATCAAATTAACATAAAATCAACGTTTTATTAGTGCTGAGAAGGACGGATCTGTTCCGTTTTATTCTACACTGACACAAAATATGTAATTAATTCGACGCATACAATGTCCCGCAGGTAAATTTGAGTGGTTAACAAGATTGTGAATACACGCCAAATGTAGCGCAAACTACGCGAACGTTATAAATCGTAGAAATTTAAATATTTTTTGCAATGCTGCATAATCGCCGTAACCGAGGGGATGGTGGTACTTATGGTGAAGTTTTCTAATCTTAAAAAACATTTTTTTTTATAATATTATTGGTAAACTTCCATAATGTTATACACAGAAAACGTTGATCGTTGCTCAACTTGACAGAATCAACGAACATGTTGACAAGTTTGCATACAATATTGCCGATTTGTTTTAGACTAAATTTGCACGAATTGTACACGGCAGTCTACGCCAAATTTATCGTCATCTACGTGTGCACAATAAATCGCAGAAATTCCCTTTCTTCAAGCAGTGTATGTAATATAATTGTTTTGGGCCAGCGGTTTTCAACCTTTAAGCGAGGGACGAACCAGCCCTAGGCTGAAAGCCTCTTTAATATTAAAGAATTTAAAAAAATACTTCGCTAGCCAATTGCGACTGATTTTGAAAAATTTCCACAAACCAATTTTGAACGAAGCGATGTAAGGACCATTGCTGATAAAAATCATTTCTTCTGCACTCAAATTAGCTGAAAATTAAGACAATCTTAATAGATACACCAACTACCTGCATGAATTTGAATTTTGGCATAACAACATTCTCTTGATCAAGGCAACCTCTGAGTATCGAAGTCAAAGTTTGTTTTTCTTCATTCGTGGCTGGATGTTCATTATCGCCTGTTTTGATGTCAATATTAATATTCGTTTTCATCTAGGTGGGGATGATTTTGAGGATCAATGAATGATTATTTTCATTTTGCACCAATATAGCGCTGAAGAACGTGTCATGTTGGTTTTTACAAACATATCGATGGAAAATTATTGCTTTTTACTGAATTGAAGGGAATATCGAGGTTTAAAGCTCTAGGGTCGACAAAATTCAAAATAATCATTTTGTTAAAAATGAAATTGATTATTTTGGGTTAGATAATCAAGCACTGGTCAATATCAACAAACGCGTATTCGTGGATGTATAATGAACTCATTCGTGCATTTCGCTCCTACGTGACAGCAAAGATTTTCAAAACAAATGCAATTCATCTACACTGGGTTGAAGCGCTACTCCTTGCGGGTGACGGTAAATGATAAAAACAGACGCTGGTGAGGAGTACAAGGTTAACAAGACTTCCTCAAACCCAACAATTCATGAGCCAGATAACTCTACGTTTACATACATCTATGTACATACTGTTTCTTTTGGAAACATGATCATTATTATTCATGTACCGTAAGACGGGGTGACATTGGACCAAAATTGAAAAACGTTTATTGATGAAAATATCTTGAATATACAGAAAATTATATATATATTTATTATACTTCTTGAACTCCTGTGTAGATAACATTAACCAGTTGTTTTATTAAAATAGCGCTATAAAGTTAAGCGTCATAAATAGTAGCAAAAACAAGTTTATCCTCAGGCAAACAAAAGTTTGAACACACTTTTATGTGGATAGAAAAGGGTTCCACGCGATCTTTAGCCATACATATGAAGTACATTGTGATCATAACGAAGTGTACCCCTGAAAGCTACGTTACATTTACATATTTTAAGATATTTTAACCAATATATATTTTTTTTTTTGTCAACCAATGTCATCCGACATATGTTTTTCATTGGTCTATTTTTTAGATATCAATTTTAATCAACCATTTTCATGACAATCGTAGATAAATCATTGATGAACATAATCACA